CGAACGGGATTCGAACCCACGACCTTCGGTTAGATACGCCGCTACTCAACCACTTGAGCTATCTTGTCTTCGATCCTTTCGAATACGAACTCAACCGTTCGAATATTCCCTCATTGAAAAATGGCAAAAAGGAGGGAAAATTCGAATGGTGGGGTTGAGATGGGAAGTTGGGTCCGAGAGGATCGAAGTCACGAAACTCAAATGAAAGAGTAGCGGCGTATTTAGTCGAAGGTCGTGGGTTCGAATCCCGCTCGTGCCATTGACTTTTTTATCTCAACTAAAAACCTTAATTAATTGAAAGATATTAATTGGTCAAGCGTACCACGAAAACTAGTGAATTTAATAAGTTAAAATGAAGTATATCTTCACTAAAGCTCTCCGTGGCCATTTCATTTGTCGCCGAGAATCAAATAAATTACACGGCATTTGAAATGTGGCAAAAAGGAGGAAAATTCGAAAGGTGGGTTGAGATGGGAAGTTATTGTCCGAGAGGTTCGAAGTCACGATAGCTCAAGTGGTAGAGTAGCGGCGTGTCTAGCCGAAGGTCGTGGGTTCGAATCCCGCTCGTCACACTGACTTTTTTATCTCAACTAAAAACTTTAATTAATTGAAAGATATTAATTGGTCAAACGGACCTCGAAAACTTTATGATTAACAATTAATTAAGGTTTTTAGTTGAGATGAAAAAAAGTTAATGGCACGAGAGGGATTCGAACCCACGACCTTCGGCTAGATACGCCGCTGCTCTACCACCTGAGCTATCGTGACCTCGATCCGCTCGGACATCAACTCCCCATCTCAACGCCACCTTACGAGTTTTCCTTCCTTTTGCCATTTTTCAAATGTCGTGTAATCGGTTTGGATTCTCGACGACAATTGAAATGGCGACGGAGAGCTTTAGTGAAGTGTACTCACAAGGTGGGGTTGAGATGGGGAGTTGATGTCCGAGCGGATCGAGGTCACGATAGCTCAGGTGGTAGAGCAGCGGCGTATCTAGCCGAAGGTCGAGGGTTCGAATCCCTCTCGTGCCATTAACTTTTTTTCATCTCAACTAAAAACCTTAATTAATTGTAATGATGTAATTGGTCAAGTGGGCCACGAAATTAGTGAATATAATGAATTTAAATGAAATATACTTCACTAAAGCTCTCCGTCGCCATTTGAATTGTTGTCGAGAATCCAAACCGATTACACGACATTTGAAAAATGGCAAAAGTAGGGAAAACTCATAAGGTGGGGTTGAGATGGGGAGTTGATGTCCGAGCGGATCGAGGTCACGTAGCTCAGGTGGTAGAGCAGCGGCGTATCTAGCCGAAGGTCGTGGGTTCGAATCCCTCTCGTGCCATTACTTTTTTCATCTCAACTAAAAACCTTAATTAATTGTAATGACGTAATTGGTGAAGTGGGTCACGAAATTAGTGAATATTTATGATTAACTTCGTTCAATGGTAGTGGACAGGGATTTTCTAGCATAAGAACTCGAATTTAGGATTATTAAAGTTGTTGAGTTATAAAGGGAGATTTTCCAGCCACATTACGTTTACAATTTGTTTATTAAGAAAATGTTTTGGATAATAAGTGGAAATTATTAAAAACCGTCTGACTTTTTCTTTTAATTCTGGGATTAAAACAATTTAAAAAACATAGATGGCTTCATGGGTCATATTTTTTTAGGTACTTACTGGTGGGAGTAAAATTGTAATGGCTAATTAAAAGACTTTTTTAAAAGGACAGCTAGTAGCGTTATACGACGCTAATTTAGCAGTAGAAAGTAGACAGAAAACACAATTTTATCCAACTTATTAACTTAGGCGCTTAAAACGAACCTAATTGGATTACGTGTGTACAGAACTTTCTCTAATCTCTCCTGGAAGAGAAGTCCGTGTGGAAAATATTAATTTACATCTCCTGAGAATAAACTTTATTTCCCCGAGTTGATTTATGGCATCGGTTGAGGGGGAAGGGACTTTCTCGCGGTCTGTCTTGCCAATCCTCACGGTTCCTCCTAACTTCACGGTTTCTTGAAAGGTGCTGAATTATTCTAGAGGCGGTGTTCCTTTCTGTTTGCCTCCTCTCGAATAATTCTGCTATATTCAGTCGACAGTGGTGTGTTTTTCCGCAGTTTTGACTCACAAAAGGGGGAAAGATTTTAACAAGTAGTTGAAATATGGATGCTGCTAAAAATGATCTAAAAGATTTCTATGCAATATGAAATTCAGCATTTCGTTCGAATACTATTATCCACTTTGTCATATATCACAAATAATAACGCTAATCTTAACGGTTCACCCAGATTGGTACGCACTAAAAATATTAGGCAAGGTAAAAACAACCAGTGTAGGCTCTTTCCAGAGAGAAAAAAAACACCTAGGAAACCACTAAGAAACAAATCCCCATTTTGATGGACAAAGTAGAAATGTGCAAAGGAACCGAGAACCGATTCAAAAAATCGACTCTTCTAAAACAATTGTCCACTCAATTGATCCATCCAAGTGAATTTCGGTTCAGGAAACTTGGAGACGGATTACGTCACGATTCCCAACTTCTAGGTTGATCCTTCGATTTTTTTGACTCTTCGACGTTCCGATTCCTTCGATTCCTTTGATTCCCGACTACCAGTTTGATTCTTCGTTTCATTCGATTCCTCAACTCCCGACTCATAGCCCCATCCCGTTTTCTCCGAGGTCGAGAAATAGTTTACTCAATTTATTAATAACAAACTCAATGTTCCCAATCCCGAACCTCTCGAATAATTAATAAATTAATAATTAATCTTTCAATTAATTAACCTTTATGTAAGGTATTGGTTGAGATAAAAAAAGTCAGTGACACGAGCGGGATTCGAACCCACGACATTCGGCTAAATACGCCGCTGCTCTACCATTTGAGCTATCGTGACTTCAATCCACTAGGACACCAACTTCCCATCTCAACCCAATCTTTTGGTTTTTTAAAATAACTTCAAAAAAATTTTGAAAAATGATAGAAAGAAGGGAAAATTCTTAAGTAAGTTCTGGTCATGTAGCCACATGTATATTGAAGAACATTTATATCGTTTTCTGTAGTATACATGGTTACAAATATACTATATTAAAGAAATAAAATTGTCTGTCTTTACGGACAGAGAGGTGATTGATTGATTGATTTGTTAAAGGTTTTGTTTAATCACGCAAAGTTAGGTCTCGTGGACCTTTCTTCCATTTAACACGAGTAGTAACAATTTACATCATACATATGTTTTAAGCAGACTCTTTTGTTTATAGAATGCAAACACACATAATATAAAACAATATTAATTAATTTATGATTCCATGATTTTGTGATGGTTTTAGTTATTTTCCATCAGAAGTTTTAGATATTTTCTTCTGAAAGTACGAAAACTATCTCAGAGGAAATACTAAAAGGAACATTGTTAAACAGCTTTATTCTGGTAATTAAGAAAAAGTTGGAGTAGGTTTTAGTTTTATGAATTGGAATTTCGAATATATTGTTTTGTCTTAAGTTTAATATTTTTAATTTTTCTCTATATTTAACAAATAGATAGTTAGGTTGCTTAGAGTGTATAATTTTAAATTTTTTTGATATTATGGTCATTTTTTGCAATTTATCATATCTTAACATATTTATTCTCTTATATTTATCACATATAGCACTATCGTACTTAAGTCTTAATATATATCTTACACATGCATTTTGTGGTTTGTATATCACGTTTGTTTGTATCAGACAAATCAGAGATTATAGCTGCACTATATCGCAAATGAGGTGTTATAAGTGAATTAACTATTTTCTTTCTAACAAACTCATTACTAGTTGATATGATTTTTTTATTAAAGCACTACAAAAGTGAATAGAGTTTACTTTATTAACAAGTCTAGTTTGTTTTATCGAATTGAGTTTATGGTCTATTGAGACACTTAGTATCTTTAGTGCATTTTCATATTATGTTATTCTCAAGTATTATTGGATCAATATTCATATATTCCAATTTGCAGATAAGTTGCGGATGCCTAACTATCATACTGTTACATTTACTAGGATTAATCAATAAACCATGATTTTGTGCCCATTCTTTTAGAGTTAGTAGATCCTGGTTACCTTTAGTAATTATTTCTTTTATATTGTTTAATTTGGATCTTATTTATACGTTAAGATTGTCGGCGAACATTCCATTCCAGGAACAAATCTGTCAGGTGCACTATTCATTTTTCATGTCAATAAAATTAACAGTGCCATATCTAAATGTTATTTTAGATATGGCACTGTTAATTTTATTGACATGAAAAATGAATAGTGCACCTGACAGATTTGTTCCTTGCGGAACTCCATGGTAGTTGCCGAAGATGAAAATTCATTTTTAAATGTCTTCATGCACATCTTCGAATAAAAAGAGAGAAAGAGAGAGAGAGAGAGAGAGAGAGAGAGAGAGAGAGAAAGTGAGAAAGAGAGAGAGAGAGACATACAGGAAACAGAAAGAGAGAAGAGAGATAAGTGAGGAATAAAGACAAGATAGAGAAAAAGAGAGGGAAAGAGAGAACGAGAGAGAGCGAGAAAGTGAGAGAGGGAGAAAGAGGAAGAGAGAAAGTGAAAGATATTGATTGATCGCTTTATTTAATGTCGTCAATTTCTTAGGTCCCTTGGGCATTTCTACTAGCTAAAGGGAGATAGATAGATAGATATAGATAGATTAATTGTAGTAGATAAACTAAAATATAAAAATAACACTAGTTGTATAATCTTCTTTCTTTAAATAGATCGCATTTTGATTCTTAAACTTGAAAATGTAAATTTTATGTGCTATTTTTACTTGTATTATTGATCAAGTGAATCAGAACATTTCTAATCGATCCTCTTTTATATGAAAATTCGAATTTCGGATATCGGATTAATTAGTAACTTAGCGATCTTCGATAAGTATTGAAACTGGTGAAACAGTTCGCCCGGAGCCAGGGAGATTTATACCCAGAATTGGAAGTGATAAGGTTGTGTTATGTTTTCAGGAAGGGGGTTATGGGCGGTGAGCAGGAGGTCGGGGCATGGGACTCAGTTCTGCTGGACCCCCTCTCAGAGGAATCGTTCATATCCAACCTCCACCAACGTTTCAAAAGGGATCACATATACGTGAGTATTTGCACCATTTGATCTAGATAATAAATATACTCGGAGATTCAATTTTTGGCTGTCATATTTGATAAGAAATTTTGATGCTAATTTTGCTTACAAGGATAAGCGGGATGGAACTAAAATTCAGTCGTAATAGTGAGTTTAGACTGCCTGAGTTGAGAAAAAATGATCAAATTACGAAAAAATTGACGGTTTAATTATTTTACTGTTAGCAAGTTTGTTGAAAATGAACAATAGGTATTTCAATATTATATATAATATAATATATATTATATATTATATAATATATATATTACGGACATACCTTTCTTTTTTTGACGGAATTTTATCTTTGAAATGCATTTCTTTTTTAGTCGATTTTTGTGTTAGATTTGAGCATGATACTCTAAAATTTAACCGTAATTCAATGTCCGTAATGCTTGTTGTAAGAGAAATGCCATTTTCTGTAGAATTCTCAAATAGAACCATATCGCAACCACTCTTTTTGGTTTATTTTTCCTTTGAATTCTAAGAATTTGTAGCTACTTTCGTCGCGCTTTACAAAAATGTGAGATTAGTCAATCAATCAACAAAATTTTGTATATTTTTCCTTAAAGATAAAAACTTATTTCTACACTTTTAGATGTTCTTTTCAAAACTTTTCTCATTACGTCGTGTGCTCATTATTGTTTTACAATATGAAAAAATAATGGTTGCCATATGATGAACAGTCAAGAAATATCTGGCGAAAAGTTAAAAAATATAACTTTGTTTAAAACATTTTCTGATCGAGCGATATAGAGTAAAATAGAGGCATGTTGAGGGTAGCTGAAGGCAAAATACACTAGAGCAAATTATTCGAAAATTTAAAAAAGTTAATTGCAGTTTTTTTAAGTTCTTATCATGCGTCTAGTTTTCATTCTGTGTTAAAAGGGATGCAATTTAAAAGAAAAAAATTGAATAAAAAGAAAGTTCATTTTTTGGTTTGAAAAAGGTTGGTACACTCAAACAACTCAAAACCTTATTATAAAACCTTAAATATAATTTTAGAAAACAATAACTCTAAAATAATCACAGATTTTTTAAAAGTATATATTTTTAATTTAAAAAACGTAGCTATGAATACCTTTTGAAAGCAATAAAACGTGGAAAAACTACCGGACGCAAAGCATTTTCCAAATACAGAGCTAGCGAAAGAGTAGATAGATTATAGACACCGTACTTCTTTTTAAATACTACAAGTAAAGTTAGTGATATGAACCATTAAAAATAAAATAACATAAAACTGGCAATGTCAAGTAATAATTAAATAAAAACAATCTGCTCTTCCTTTAATGGCTTCGTCCTACTGCCCAACAGGTTGTCCGGCTACAGCCGCTCGAACCTCCTGGGAGGATTATTGAGGGTAGTAAGAGATGTTAAGCCTAAAACTAAGGGATCGGGGTGTAATGAAAGGGATTTGCGGGATTTTGTGTATCGGGGTTTTATGGCAACTTTCACTAAAGCAATGTTTAGCTCATGGTGGTTTGTCTGGTTTTATACGTAAAAGGAAGCTTTTACGATTTACAGTCTTAGAAGTAATCACACGAAAACTTATTTTAATTTCACTAAGTATTTCCATAAAGTGGTCCACCACTTTACAATAGCTTTTACATATTATTACTAATTAAAAATCCGTGTGATATGACTGTATTCGAACCCAGAAAGGCTAGCTTGGCAATTACGATTCGCGCGATCCCCAATGTTTCGTTTAACGGCGCTGTAACCTACACTTATGCAAGACGACCAAGTCGTGAGGGTTTAGACTACCTTCCTTTTAATAATACATATTTCATTTACTTTTATCAACCTACAAACCAAGGCCTGAAAGTTGACTTGAAAGTTTGCGACTTAACCTCAATTAATTTGGCTCAGATTACGCTGGATTTCGGTTAAGAGTGGGCCAGTGGCCAACTAGTTTTTGCGACAAATCCTTTTTCTTCCATTTTTCAATGGGTCAACAATTTATTTGGAAAGCTGGGTGACAACATATATTAGGTAAAAACCTAAAACACTAACAACTGAATTTACTAAATCTTCTGATAAAATACAGACTAAATGCTTAACATCTATAACGTTAATACAAATCTATAATTAAGACTTACTGTTAATAAATCAATGAAATACGGTTAGTTCGTCAGAAATTTTGCAAGTTTTTCTTACAATTGTAATTATTCCTACATGCGATCAACAATTTAGATTTGATTGTAATTATCCATGGCTATATTTTGTTTAAAACCAGCTCAAAATTTTAAAATTTGTGAAGTAGCTTGTGTACTTCAAATACAGAAAAACGGTTAAATTTACTAAATCTACTGTTTAAGTTCAGACTAAATGCTTAACATATATAACATTAATATGAATTTATAATTAAGATTTACTAATTATTTAGAAATCGTGAGATGCGTTCTGGTGTAATGTAGGTTTCAGAAAACCATTTTCTTTATCGTTCCAACGTTTCGATCTTTATTGAGATCATCTTCAGGGCTCAAAATGTTTGTCTTCTGTGTAATTGTGCCATACTAGCGTGTTGTGTTGGGAGTGCCTACAACACGCAAGAATGGCACAATTACACAGAAGACAAACACATTGAGCCCTGAAGATGATCTCAGTAAAGACAGAAACGTTGGCACGAAAAAGAAAATGTTTTTCTGAAACCTACGTCACACCAGATCGCATCTCACGATTTCTTAATAATTATCGATTAACGATCACTAATTACCACACATTAAGATTTACTTTTTTTCCGGGGCTTCCAACAATAAAGTCATTTCAGCCCCTTCGCACAGCATTGTTATGGCCGATGGGGTACTCAATATTCCGCCACCGGCCGTACAGACTAAACGACCACACACTTACAACAAATAAATTACTGACAAATAAGTACACGACACAATAAAACAAAGATATAGGCCAGTGTACCTTTTATACACTATTTACAAGTGAGGAAACACCCCCGTTATTCTTAAAAAGCGGAACAGGGGATCCAACATCTGACTTGTTCGCCCGAGTACCGTTTTTATATCGGGGTTCATGCCTACTCTCTCCCTGTAGGGGGCCAAGGCACGGCACTTCTCGACAAGATGAGACGCACTGAGCAAGCTTTCTCTACAAGCGGGACACCTGCGCGGGTTTTGACCCAGAAGCAGATGTCCGTGTGTCGGACTGGTATGGCCAATCCTCAACTAAGATAACACGATCCTTTCATTTCCTTTCAGATTCTCATGAGGCCATCTTTCAGTCGTGCCCATTAAGATTTACTGTTAATAAATCAATGAAATACCATTTATTTGTCAGAAACTATACAAGTTTTTCTTAAAATTGTAATTGTTCCTACATGCTTATGTGATCAATGACAATTTAAATTTGATTGCAATTATCTATGGCTATATTGTGTTTAAAACCAGCGCAAAATTTCAAAATTTATGATATAGTTTTTGTGGTTCGAATATGGAAAGACGTATGGAATATAAAAAAAGAAAACATTTTAATGTTAACTATATGCAGTTTTTCCCCACTTGAATTGTCTTCTGTTTTCTAACATTAATTATTTTACGTATTGATTTGATTATATTTATGCTCTAAACTTGTCGATTTATGAATCAGCTAGTTTTCCATATGTGTTTTAATTTAGCCATATCGTAACAATTAAATGATGGTTAATAAAGTGAAATCTGTTGTTACAATTTGATTAAATATATACATTATATAATATAATTTCATAATTATTCAACACATGTAAAAAGTACTAAACATACACATTTTTATAATTAGAAAATAATATTGTTAAAGGCTAGTTGGGGTTTAATAAAGTTAACGATTACTTATGATTTTTCCTTCTTGAATGAGGGATAATAGGTCATCTCAAAAAAACCACAACCAGTTTTTTTAACCACGTTTCGGATTTATTTTAATCTTTCCTCAGGTGAATTAACGCGTATACAAGGAACAAATAATTCTTACATTTTTAGATCAACATGGTTATCATTCTTTCTTAACTACTTATAATGGTTGAAACAGTGGTCGTCAGTCATTAATATTTTATAACAGTTTATTTTAAAAAAGAGCCAGTGGGGTACATATTTAAGTCTTTCAGACACCGAACAAACGTTTTAATATTTTGAACTAGACTCTTATCACAACATCTCATGTGACGTTTTAATCTCTTATCAACATCTTATCACAGACAAACGAATTAACATTAAAAAAACGACTCAACGGTTAAAATTACTTAAATTCACTATTTTTCGTGGTCCGCTTGACCAATTAATTAAGGTTTCAAGTCGAGATAAAAAAGACAGTGTCACGAGAGGGATTCGAACCCACGACCTTCGGCTTGATACGCCGCTTCTCTACCACTTGAGCTATCGTGACTTCGATCCCCTCGGGCACTAACTTCCCATTTCAACAGCACCTTTTGAACTTTCCCTCCTTTTTGAAATTTTTCAAATGTCGTGTAATCTATTTGATTCTCGGCGACAAGTGAAATGGCCACGGAGAGCTTTAGTGAAGTATACTTCATTTTAATTCATTAAATTCACTATTTTTCGTGGTCCGCTTTACCAATTAATTTCATTCAATTAATTAAGGTTTTAAGTCGAAATAAAAAAGGTCGTGGGTTCGAATCCCGCTCGCGACACTGACTTTTTTTATCTCGCCTTAAAACCTTAATTAATTGAGTTAAAATTACATTTTTCTTGAAAATCCACTTTTAAACAACAATTTTTATTTATTTTATTAACAACATTTTAACAATTATTATCACAATTATCACCGATTTTAAGTTTCCTCCAAAGTTTAAAATTGATTAGATTATTTTTATAAATTGTTTAACAAATTAAAATAGCAATCACTTATCATATCACAGTCTTGATGGTAATTAACAGACAGTTTATCTTTTTTTAACTTTTTTCTGTAAAGGGCCTCCAGGAACTTTCTTTTTTTACTATTTCGTTTGTAACAATACTAACATCATCAAA